GATAAAAATAACAATTCTTAGTATATATATATTGGGTATATCAATATGAAAGTACACAGAAACATAAAAGAATACTAATAGCCCTACAAAATCAGACGTCCACAAAGCAGTAATAGGGGACTATTAACACTGCATTTTCACAAATGGACAGATCATTCAGCCAAAAACAAAGAAACAGCAAATTGCTCCTTAGATGAACTAGACTTATCAGACACCTAGAGTGTCTCATCCAAGAGCTACAGAATGCACATTCTTCAACAGCACTGACAACAGTCTCCAAGGCAGAGCATACGTAAAACAAGAAAAAAAGCCCCAACAAACTTAGTACAACAAAAATCATAATGAACTTCTTTTCAAAAGACAATGCAAACAATGGAAAGCAGCCACAAGAGAAACTATGGGAACTATTTCCTATGACAACTGAACAACCTACTCCAGAACAACCAATTAATGAAGCAAGAAACTAAGGATATTAAGCGTATTCTTGAAATAAGCAGTAATCCAAATTTAATATCTGTGGAACACAGTGAAAACAGTGCTCAGAGGGGATTTTGTAGCAATCATGCTTACATCAAAAAGGCTGAAAGATTCCAAACATGAATTAGTGCTGTGACACAGCAAGTAAGAATGTTACCACCTGCACAGGACTCTCATAAGCCAGTCCTGGCTTCTCCACTTCCAGTCCAGCTACCTGCTAAAATGCTTGGGAAAGCAGTAGAGAGGGCTGAAGTACTTGGAGACCTGGAGGAGGCTTCTGGTTCCAGACCAGCCCAGCCCAGCTCTGGCAACTGCAGCATTTGGGGAGTGAATCAACAGAACTCTCTCTTAATCAACTGTGTCTCCCCCATCCTCCTCCTCCAACACTTGAAAATAAAAACAAAACCTAAACTTACAACTGCACCTTAAGAAATGAAGAAAAATAATCAAACATAAACAAGGAAGGCAGAAGAAATAAACTGGAGAAAAAAAATTAATGAAATAATCACGCTCTTTGAAAACATGAGCAAGACTGACAAAATGTTATTCAGGTCCAAACAAAAAATGAAATGGAAAAAGAAAATATTACAATTGACACTACAGAAATATAAAGGATTTTTAGAGATTCTTTTGAATAAGGCTATGCCAAAAATTTTGATAACCTAGAAAAAATGAACAAATTCCTGGAAAAACAGACCTTATCAAGGCTGAACTGACCAACAGGCAAATAGTAAGTAACAATATTACAACAATAAGACACAGTCTCCCAGCAAAAAAAAACAACAACAACAAAAAAACCTTAGGATCAAGTGACTTCATTTTTTTTCCACTGTACCAGACATTTAAGAATTTATAAAATAAAATTTTAAAAGGAAACAATATTAATTCTTAGATTGGCCCACAAAATAAAACCCAGGAAGTTGATACCAAATACAAATAAAACAACAAAAAAGAAAAGTACAGGCCAAAATCCTTAATCAACATTGAAACTAAAATGCTTAACCAAATTTCAATGAGGTGAATCCAACAGCATACTGAAAAGGTCATTTATCATGATCTAGTGAGACTCATCTCAAAGATCTAAGAATGGGACAATGTGCATAAATCAATCAATGTGATATACCAGATAGTGCAATCTTTCCAAAAAACATGTAATGGGTATCTGATATAATACATCATCCTTTGTGACAAAAAAACTGAATGAATCAGGTTTACAAAGAATATACCTCAACATAATAGCTAATATTTATCGGATATAACAGGCCCAAAGTCAACATTACACTCAATGATTAAAAAAACATTACACTCAATGGGGAAAAATTGAAGGTTCTTTCTCCCTAAAAACTTAGTAACTACAGTAACAATGTCTATTTTCAGTTCTACTATTATCCAAGATAATTTAGAACAATTAGGGAAGAGAAAGAAATGAAGACCAGCTGAATTAGAAAGGAAGAAATCAAATTATCTTAGTTTTCAGGTGACATGATTTTAATGTAAAAAGTACAAAGAGAGGGTCAACATTAGCCAGCTAAACTAATGCCTGCAGTAAAGGCAACCTATTTGGGCAACCTATCTTAGTTGCTTCACTTTCTATGAATTTCTTTGCTCATGTGCTTGGGAAAACAGAGGAATTTGGACTCCCTGCATCCACGTGGGAGACACGGATGTAGCTAATGGCTCCCAGCTTTGTTCTGATCCAGCCTTGGCTGCCTGTTGCAGGCATTTGTAGAGTGAACCAGGTGATGGAACCTAAGAAGCTAACATAATATTGAACAAAAAGAGTAAAGCAAGAGACACTTACACTACCTAACTTGAAAATGTATTACAAAGCTATGTCATTAAAACAGCATGGTATCAACATACACATAAATCAGTGGAACAGAATAGAGATCCTATAAGTAAACCCACGCATGCACTGACAGCCACATTTTTTGATTGTTTTGAGGATTTATTTATTTTACTTAAAGTCAGAGTTACAGAAAGAGAGAGAGGTTAAAAACAGAAAGAGGTCTTCCACCCACAGGTACACTCCCCAAATGGCAGCAATAGCCAAAGCTGGGCTGATGCTAAGCTGGGAGCCTGAAGCCTCTTCTGAGTTTTCCACATAGGTGCAGAACCCGAGGCCTTGGGCCTTTTTTCTCACTGAGGATATAAACAAGGAGCTGGATTGAAAGTGGAGGAGCCAGAACTGGAACTAGCACCTCTACGGATGCTCATGATGTAGGCAGACAATTAGCTGCTCCACCATAAAGCCAGGTTAAGCACATAAATTGAAGAAAGGACACTTTTTTCAATAAATCGTGCTAGGACAACTGGATACTACACGTAGAAAAATGCAATCAGACCCCTGTCTATCACCACGCACAAAAATCAACTCAAGACCAATACATAAGACCTAAAACTTGGATATTATAAAAAGAAAAATCTTCAGAACACTGGAATGGCCAAGAATTTTTTAGATTAAATGTGAAAACAAGGCAAACAAAAGCAAAAATAGACAAAGGGGGTTTCAGCAAACTAAATAGCTTTTTCACAGAATAACGGAATAGAATGAAAAGACAATCTGCAGAAAAGGAGAAATTAACCTATGTATCTGACAAGAGATTAGGAAACACCATTTACAGCAAACACACACATTCAACCATACTCAACACCGTTTAGAAACTGTCAGCTTTAAAAACATACTTTCCCATTGGATCCATACAAATGACCAACAAAAATAGGAAAAAAAAACCACCTCTCACTAATAATTTGAAAAATGCAAATGAGGGGGTGGGCATTTATTCAGGCTACCAGTCGGGATGCAAGCATCACAGAAATGTGCACTCTGAAATGGCTGGGTCTCTGCCACCCACATGGGAGACCTGGATAAAGTCCAGTCCAGCTATTGCTACTGCAAACATCTGAGGAGTGAAGCAGCTGATGGGCAATGTTTCCACCTTTAAACCAATAATATCCAAACAAAATAAAATACCTCACACAAGTTACACAGGCTACTATAAAAAGACAAAAAGATATAAGTGGTACTGGCAAGGATGAGGAGAAAATGGAACCTTTACACATGATGAATAGAAGTATATGTGAGAACAGGCATTGTGGAAAACAAAATCAAAGTTCCTCCAAAACGTAAAGAGAATTAACAGATGACTCAGCAGTTCCACTGCTGGATATACACACAAGGCAAATAAAGTCATTCTGTCAACAAAACATCTGAGCATCCATGGTTACTGTAGCACTGTTTACAACAATCAAGAGAAGTAAACAATCAGAATATCCATCTGACTGATGATGGATAAAGAAAATGTGGTATACAACAGCTGCTTACGAGGTCCAGGGATCATGTCTGAATGCCAGCTGGGAGTCCCAATCCCTCAGCTTCTGAGTCAGCCTCCTGTAACTGCATTCTGGGGGACAGCACATGCTGACCCAAGTGTGGGGATTGCCACCAGCCACATGGGAGAGTGGAATGACGCTCTGCAATTCTGACTTTGGCCTGAAGTAGTTTCGACTGCTGCAAGCATTTGCAGAGTAAACCAGGAAGCAGCTGAAAGATTCTCCCTCTCTATGCTTTTCAAGTAGATAAGCATAAACATAAAAAAGCAATAATAATAAAAAAAAATCTTTCAGGTTACTCTCGTAGAAGTTGAGAAAAGAAGAGAGGGTTATCAAAAGGGAGGGGTGCCAAGAGTAAAGTGAAGAGGGAGAAATGGGGAAAGGTTAATTAAAGGGTACTTAGGTTAGAGCTGGACAGAGTAAGCAGCTCTGATAGTCTACTACAGGGTAGGATAACTATAAATGACACAAATACAGTGTGCCTATTTCACAAAAGGAAAACACAAGCTGGCAGAAAGGATTCTGAATATTTTATCAAGAAAAAATAGTAAATGCTTGAAAAAACAGATATGCTTAACAGGACTGGACATTATACAGTGTATGGAAACATGTGATAATCAATAGCACATACAATCTCTGTCAGTTAAAAATTTTAAAACACCCAAATTATTAAACCCCAAGCATTCTTTCTAAGCCTCCAAGCGGGGAATATGAAACACTTTTTAAAAAAATCTTCAAGAAGTTTCTTACTTAAAGAATGATTTACCTTGGGACTTGCAGATTAAAGTAATTTAAAAAATTATGTCAAACTTAAGTTGTGTTTACAATTTATTTTAAAAATATGAAAATAAAGGATTTTTAAAAAAGTAAACTAAGTTCAAAAGCAAATAACTTTTTATTATCAGTTATTTACTCTGAAGTTTGTTTTTAAACCTATTAATGGCAATTTGCTTTTAAAAACCAAATTATAAAGATTAGAAAGCAGTAAAAATCAGAGCATTTTAAAAAATGACGGAAAAACAACGAAAAAAAGCAAGATTTCTTTTTTGACAGATACAATGTATGGTTCACTTTCATAAACCAAGAGTTACCAAATAGGCTGTTACATTCTTATTTTGTTGTACAAATAAAATACAGTTCTCATTACTTCAGAAGTATAGGTTCAGCTATGTTAACTACTAAAAACCCACCTTTTTCATTTTCTTTGTATCTACAAATGCCAACTGGAATCTCTGCTTGAAACATGGAGCCCACCATAATCTCCTATTTTAAAAATAACATAAAACATTATTAAGATCTAATAACACATTTTACATCAATTTTCTAGATTTACCATCCTCATGGGCTGTCTCTGGTTCCTGTCACAAATGCAAATACAGCCAAGTAACTACCTCACAGAAGTATTGTGAGGATGAATGAGTCAATAATAGATAAGAGCATGGATATGATTGGATGAGAATATTACTGATGCAAATGGGATGAAATGTAATGTGGACAATGAATACAAACCTTATTTCAAATTATGGAGAAAAATAAAGAGTAAAATCCAAAACTTTTACTAAGATAATTGCACAACACTCTGAAAAACAGAAAGTCAAATTTAAATACTTTCAGGGTATCTAATCTTAAGACACGGTGGTCTTAAAATATACTCCCTGCACTGGCAGTATCAGTGTCATTCAAGAAACTTTAGAAATGTAAATGCTCACTCAGGAGGTTATCCCAAACCCACTGAAAACATGATTCTACAATTAGTATTAACACTCCAGGCAAATATGACACTGAAGTCAGAGCAGAGCTATAAGGTAAGGGAAGTAAAAAAGTTCAACAGAGACAAATGGGTATAACTTGAAACCAAACAGCTAAACAGATTAGTTCTTCACATCAGTCAAAGCAACATAAAATAAAAAAGGAACCCTTCTGTCCCCTCACAAGAACTGCAATCTGGTAATCTAATCCATTTAAGCAAATCACAGCTGAGGTCAAAGTGGCTATTGAGAAGGCAACTGGAAATCAGTACTGATAATATTTCAGGGGACCACAGTTGAAGCACAGGGTTATGCTACCGCCGGAAATGGAAACGTCTGCACTGAGTTTTGGCATCAGCTGCTGCATTTCCAATCCAACTACATGCTAATGTGCCTGTCAAAAACTGGTCCCAAAATTCCCACCTGTCACCCATGTGGGAAAGCCCAGTTAAGGCTCCTGGCTTCAGCCTGACCCAAAAGGGGCTACTGTGAAGCCATCTGAGGAGTGAACCAGTGAACCTCAAGATACAAACTCGGTCTCTCTCTTTCAGTCCCTTGTACCCTCTTTAAAAAAAAAAAAAAAAAAAAAAAAGATTTCATTCCACATGAGAATCAGGACTACATGGATACTCTTGTATGGTGGCTGTTAAGAACAAATTTACTAGGGGCTGGCACAGTGACACAGCAAGAGAATCCTCTCCTTGCAAGCATTGGTTGGTGTCCTGGTTCCTGTCCTAGCTGCTCCATTCCCACCCAGCTCCCTGATGGTGGCTTGGGAAAGCACTGGAGGATGGCCCAAAGCCATGAGCCACTACATCATCCAAGAGGCTGAGAGGAAGCTCCTGGCTGCCAGCTGCAGATCAAGTTCCCTCAGCTCTGGCCATTGTGGTTATCTAGAGAGTGAATCAGTGGACAGAGGATCTTTCTTAGCAAAAATCTGCTTTTCAAATAAAAACAAATCTTTTTGAAAATTTCTTTTACTAGCACATTTAAAATAAAAACCTTGACATAAGCAGCACAAATCATGGCCTAGGAAGGTTAGATAGCTCTTAGGATTTGAAAAGTTCCTTTCTCCTGTTGTTACCTTACTATACCTAGACAACTTCAAAAACAAGCTGGAATAATAGTTATCACTGTCTGTATAGGAAAGGCAGTGTTGACTGGCAGGTTTGATTTTCTACGATTAGCACTACAACCAACCAATCTTGTCCTTTCTTCAATATTCATTTCTTTTATGACTTCCACCATAAAAAATCCTCTATTTTGTTATTCCCTGTACAAAACCTCTTTTAATTTTACTCAACCAGTGACTACCAAAATGTGACTTTAAAAGTATCAATGCCTAAGGTCTGACATGGTGGGCTAGCAGCTAAAGTGTTCGCTTTGAATGCGCCGCAATCTCATATGGGTGCCAGTTCTAATCTCGGCGGCACTGCTTCCATCCAGCTCCCTGCTTGTGGCCTGGGAAAGCAGTTGAGTATGGCCCAAAGCCTTGGAATTCTGCACCTGTGTGGGAGACAAGCAAGAGCCTCCGGGCTCCTGGCTTCAGATCAGCACAGCTCTAGCCGTTGCAGTCACTTCGGGAGTGAATCAATGGATGGAAGATCTTCCTTTCTACCTCTCCTCCTCCTCTCTGTTTATCTGACTTTCCAATAAAAATAATGAATAAATCTTTTTAAATAGGTATCAATGTCTAGATCTATTCCAGACCATTTAAATAGCAGAGATGAGTATTCTTCAACTAATGATAATAAGTAGGCATTTCTTATTCCCACTGAATTCAGAACCTTCTTATCTGCCAATGTGTTCTGTAGTGTAGAGCAGGAAATGGAAAAATCATTTTTGATTTTAGATGTTAGTTATCTCACAAGGAATTTTCATTTAATCTTCATCAAGTCCCTTCAAAAAGGCTGACACTCTAATTCCCTTTATGTGAGCTAAATGTCAGAGAATTGATTTTCTGGGACTGGCAATGTGGCACGGCCACTCAAGCCACCTCCTACATTACAGGGCTCTTTTGTAGGAGTTTTGGCTGCCCCGTTCCAATCCAGCACCCTCTTAACACATTCCAAAAAGCAGTGGAGCTGGCTGAGCCCTGGCTTTCGAGGCCATCCACGGAGTGAACCAGTGAATGCAAGGTGTCTCCACCAGCCTCCCTCTCTATAACTCTGCCTTTCGAATAAACTGCTAAATAAATCCTTTAAAACAAGAAAATCTTCACAGAAGAGTTTACAGAAAAATTTTCTCAGAAAGACAGACTAAGAACATTCTAGGACCATGACTTACACACTACAAGAAAAATCACACTAGAATTTTTTAAGAGGTTGTTTCAGTGGATCTGTCAATAATACTGTATCTTCCATATGGGTTTCTTTTAATTTTACACGTTTTGATAGTTTTCTTAAAAATCAAGTCAACTCTGCAATAAACTTAAAATTATCCTTTTAACTTGGGGTCGGCATGATTGCTTAATTGGTCAATCCTCTGCCTGTAAGTACTGGCATCACATATGGGTGCAGGTTTGTGTCCCAGAGGCTCCATTACCTATCCAGCTCCCTGCTTATAGTCTGGGAAAGCAGCAGAGGATGGTCCAAGCCTTGGAACCTTTAACCCACACGAGGGATCCCGGAGGAAGATCCTAGCTTCTGATCAGCTCAGGCGCAGGGTCCCAAGGCTTTGGACCGTCCTCTTCTGCTTCCCCAGGCCACAAACAGGGAGCTGGAACAAAAGTGGAGCAGCTGGAACATACTAGTGCCTGTATGGGATCCTGGCACTTGCAAGAGGAGGATTAGCCAAATAAGCCATCACACTGACCCAGATATAATTTAAGAATACTGCCAATGTTATGTAGACAACCATTTAAAATTTTACTTAACAATATCCTATTCTAGAGAGCTCAAATTTCTTAACATATATTCTTATCATCTGCCAACATTAAATTAAACCACTTTGAGTTTTCCCATCTTATACTGTAAGATGGAATGAAAATCCTGTAATCTGAAGTATTAAGCAAAACTCACTTTCATATTAAAATCAACCATAACTGCACCACTCCAAAACTAAACAAAATCACATGTGATGCTTTTTTACAAAGCAATGAAAGTCTAACTCAGCACCAGTATAGGGTTAGACCAAAACTATAAATTTCTAATCTTGGTTTGAGTACTGCCAATTTACCAAAATCAGCTCTTTTAATACCATTTTACAGAAAGATAAATATTTATCATCTGAATGCACTCGAGGGGAATCTGAACATTCACAAGGGAGCTTACAGCAACTTGGCAATACACAGTAACAACAAATATACCTGTTATTTTATACATCAATAATATGTTTCTAACTACCTTTTTCCAGTCTTCAGACGGAATATAGTCTTCATCTTCTTCAGATTCTTCTTCTATTTCACTATCTAAAATAAATAGGACAGGAATATCATAAAATCAGTGCTTGTTCTGCCTACACACACACCTACACACACACACACACACACACACTATTATATGTATATTTTGTTATGTCTACCACTAAATGTTGTTATATGACAAAAGGTATCTGGAGTTAGATCAAGATACACTTAATTAAGCGTCAATACTTTATGTTATACAAATAAAAAGAAAAAAAACCTTTAAACTAGAAAAATACATGTGGTTGGTACAGTGGTTAATGCACTGCTTGGGACATCACATCTCAGTTTGGATTCAAGTCGCAGTTCCTCAGTTTCCCATTCAGTTCTCTGCTAATACACCCTTAAGATTCAGCACATGACGGCCCAAGTACAGGGGACCCTGTCATTCATGCAGGACTTCCACCCTTCCTGTCACAAGCATTTGGGGGGAGTGAACCACAGGATAGAGCATATCTGCCTGTCAGCCTTTAACATAAAAGAAAATCTAACAAACACAAAAAAAATTAGGAAAGAAAATGTATAAACTTTTTAGGATGATAGAATTACTACCAAATAACTTTCTTTAAAAAAAGGGGAGGGCCTGGCGCAGTGGTGCAGTGCTTAAGGTCCTCGCCTTGCACGCCCGGGATCCCATATGGGCGCCGGTTCTAATCCTGGCGGCCCTGCTTCCCTTCCAGCTCCCTGCCTGTGGCCCAGGAAAGCAGTCGAGGACAGCCCAAAGCTTTGGGACCCTGCACCCAAGTGGGAGACCCGGAAGAGACTCCTGGCTTCGGATCGGCATAGCATTGGCTGTTGCGCTCACTTGGGGAGTGAATCATCGGACGGAAGATCTTCCTCTCTGTCTCTCCTCTCTGTATATCCGCCTTTCCAATAAAAAATAATAAAAATAAATCTTTAAAAAAAAAAAAAACTTAAGGGGAGAAGTTGATCTAAAGCCAATATCATGTTTTTAACCTTCACCTCTCAAAGCTTATTAACAGGATAAATTATATTTCAATTTCTTTATAGCAAATTAGGGCTTGGAGAAAACCTCATTTCCAAACAGTACTCTGAAAATACTGGAAATTTTGCAGTACTGCTTTAAGAGGGAAAAAAAAGAGAGAGAGGACATAAATCCAAGGACCTTCATTCTTCCTAACCTTCATTTTATCAGGGCAAGCAGAGTTGTTGTTTACTTATATTCTGGAATAAGAACAAATTTACTTGTAAAAAGATGGAAACCTGAAAGCTATTAAGATTGTCAGTATTTTCTCAAAGCTAAAATTGGTGGCTCAAGTTAAAAATGACATTATGCATAGACAATTTTATGGAAAAGCTAATATAAATGGCATATGTGTAAATATGTACATGACACATTGTATAATATAGATATTGTATGTATGTCTAGCTTCCACACATATACATAAATACATCACAAGTGCAATACTAAATTAGGAGTATAAAACAGTGTTTCAAGAGGCACAGTAGTCACCTGGCATCTACTTCAAAAAAATTATTTATTCAAGAGGAAAAAGTAGAGGTTTTTATCTGCTGGATCACTTGTCAAATGCTCTAACAGCTACAGGGCTGAGGCCAAAAATCAGGAATTTAAACCAGGTCTCCCGAACAGGAACACAAGTACTGGAGACATTACTACTGCCCACCAGGTCCCACATTTAGCAAAGAGCTGCCTAAGCTGGGGACTGAACCCAAGCACTCCAATGCGGGATTGAGCATCCTACGGAGTAGCTTAACCAGCAGCCCAAACCTCCACCTCCAAATTACAATTTAGAGCAAACTTGGCAAGGGACTTGCTTCTTCTCTAACTAAAGAGAAAAATACTAGCACAACTGCTCCAAACTTAAAATTAACACATTTCAATAACTAATCTCTCTTTGTACTAACACTAATACTGTTCAATTGGATAAAATATTTGATCAAAACTCCCATTTATTATACAAAAATTTTTATTAGTGGTACTACATTACCGTCAATATTTCGTTACAAATCATTCATACAAATAATAGCCATATTTACAATCAGCTATTACTTTACATTTCATAAAAGGTTATTGTTTTCAAGATTTTGTTTCAAGTATAGGAAATTAGATAATAAGTGTAATTATTAATACGGCTGGCTACCTAGTTCTTATTAAAGAGTTTCTAGGTTAACAATTCATGCTTATGATAGTTACAGGGTTAGCAGGTGAAATGTGCAAACATTTAATATATGTGACTACTGGGTATTTCTGAACAGATGCTAAACTATAAGAAATCAGGGCAATTCTTACTATGTATATGAGTTTCTTCCTCAAGAATCAACCTCTTCTTTATACAAAAGACACCGATTAGAGAAATGCTTATGAATGTATTACTGTACAGTGCTCACAATGTTTGGGGCAATAATGAATCGCAGTTATGATGGTGGTCCAACAACTATTTCATCTCATGAGGTCGTAGAAACACTAATTCATACATTACAATGTTCCCATAAGGTGTTTTAAGTAATTGTAATTTAAGTAATACATAAAATAGTAAAATCATATCAAAACTAAGCAAACAACAATACTTACTTGTATCAAAATATTTACACCGACGTGGGCGGATGGTTTCCTGAGCATCCTGCGACGCAGCAGGCTGTGATGGGTCATCATTGGAAGACTGAGTCTCATCCTCCTGACCAGACGAATCCTTCACAGTCTCTTCCTACGGAATAGCACATTTATTCAGGATACAGAGAAAACTGTTACAAAGTGCTACAGTATTCAGATTTCCTTTAAATATCTAAAACACCAGAAATGGATTCATTCAGTGTAGCATCATGCTATGGGCTGGTTCCTAAAACATGAAAAAGGTTATTGGAGGTGAATCTAAATAGTGTGTAGATTAGATAACAGTACAGTATAGTGTGGACTTCTAAACCTTGATAAATAAACCAAGGTTACACAAGATGCTAGCACTAGGAAAAGATAAGTGGGGCGAAGTATTAACAAAAACTTTGTACACCTGAAATTATTTCAAAATGAAGAAAAATGAACATGGAAGTGTCAATTACAAAAGCATTTAATCTTTTAAAAAGTTGGTATAAACCATCTGGAAGAGACCCCCAAATCTGAGAAGACAGAGACCACACCATCACCTGTACTGGGAGATTTCCAATCGTTAGGATATATTTCTAAGATACCTTATTTTTTTTTGACAATTAAATGTAACACTTTCAAAGAACAAGTAATGATTGTGGAAGTAATCAAAATGAATATATTAAGAAATCGTAACTTGAACAAGAATAGCAGCATGTTCTAAAGCATACATTAGCCCCACTTTCTGTAGTTTAGTACCTCAAGTCAACCACAACCTAAAAATGCTAATATTTGTCATGACTCTTTCAACAGACTATTCCACATAAGTTTCTATTAAATTATACTGCAATAACTTTTTATTTCATTATAGTTGTTGATCTCTTCCCATGTTCAATTTATACAATAGGCTTTACCATAGTATGCATGAAGATATTTCAAAAAGTTCATCAAAAATATAACTAAAACTAAATTTATCTTAAATCATTTTCTTAAATCCTTGTATACTTTATTTCAATAAGCACTTTCCACTAACTTTTTTTTAAGATTTATTTGGTATACAGAGGAGGAGAGACAGAGAGGAAGATCTTCCCTCTGATGATTCACTCCCCAAGTGACCACAACGGCTGGAGCTGAGCCAAGCCAAAGCCAGGAGCCAGAATCTCTTCCAGGTCTCCTGTGTGGGTGCAGGGTCCCAAGGCTTTGGGCCGTCCTTGACTGCTTTCCCAGGCCACAAGCAGGGAGCTGGATGGGAAGCGGGGCTGCAGGGATTAGAACCGGAGACAATATGGGATCCTGGAGCTTTAAAGGTGAGGACTTAAACCACTATGCTATTGCACCAGGCCCTTTACTAACTTTTTAAAATGGCCTTATAGCTGCAAGAATAAACACAGCACATTTAGTGTTAAATACTAGTATCTGTGGTTCCAGATATGTAGTGAGGGTCTTGGAGCCAAAATCTAGACCTAAAAGTATCTGCCATATATATATGCATATAACTTTACTTTATTTTCCCCGCTACAGCCACTGTTGTCATCATTATCAGCATCTTCATCATCTTCCCCTTCTTCTTCCTCTTCTTCTTCCTCTTCATCTTCTTCAGGTAAACGAACAGTACTGTCATAACCATAAAGGCTGAGAAGTTCATGAATTGGCATGTCGCCTTCCTAAAGATGAAAATAAAAGTGCATTTTTAAGTCAATTATTTCATATTACCAAGTTGTAATTCACAAAAATATATTCATTCTACACATTTAGAACTATGGCAAGAATGCTCAAATCAGAAAATAAAAATTTTTGAAACTTGGGAACTTCCCAATACTGTATTGCAGTGCCTAGGTTAAAGCCCCAGTTCTGCCTCTGACATGAGTTTCCTGGAAATACAAGTCCCGGGAGGCAGCAAACAATGGCAAATAATGGGATTCTTGCTACCCATGTGGGGTACTCAGGATAATTCCCCAGCACTCAGAATTGGTCTAGGCCAGTTCCAACAGTTGGGGCCTTCTTTGAGGGAACCAGTGGATATATAACAGGTTTTTTGCCCTCTCCATCTCTCTGCCTTTCAAGTAAATATAATCTAAAATTTATTTTGTTTTACAACCAATATATGTACATGGACAGTTACACGTTGATAATTAAGAATGCCACTCTTACTTAAGCAGAAAGTATAATTATAAAACAGACTATAAACTAAGTTAACAAGCCCATGGAGATGATGCTTGCAACCCAGCTCATACAAATTAAAAGAAAAATTCAGGTGATATCCAGAAATGATACTGAGTTATAACAACAAAACTTTTCCCACCATGGCTATTTCCCATTTAAAATCACTTCATGTGATCTTTATCATCTGTCTTACAGAACAGTTATATCCTCCATGTCACACATGACGAAACAGGCTGAGAGATAAAGCAATTTTTTTAAGTTACACAAGTTATTAGTAGTTGAGTCAGTTTAAACAATCGAACTCCTACACTGTCATCAATTTACCACAGTGCTTCTCAGCCAGGAATCTCTTCCAACCTCTCCAAAATACATACTGCCTACATATGAAATAAATACCTATATGTAGTACAAAGAAATCAGGTTTCTGAAGAACGTACTCATCCTATCATAATCAATTCATGCGAAGTTCCAGGGAAGTGCCTTAGAATTTTTTATACAAACAAAATTCAACCAACATCATCTGTACATATTATATATATGCACACATTACACACCACAAATAAACCCATGCTCTGAGGAAAAATGTTGGTAAATTTAGGACTTGAAAGTACCATAATCATGAACTAAGACATAATTTCTCCAGCATTCTGTGCCTTATCAAGGACAGAAATCAGTCTAGTCCATGTGTTAAATAAATCATTAAAATGGAGACGAGCACAATAGTTGCAAAATATAATTTGATGGCCCTATCATTTAGATCGTACTAGAAATACTCCCATGATTATAACTTGGAAAATGTCCTTATAAGAAGAAAATGCCACTCAAAACATTACAAACAGATATTCTAGTATTATATCAGTAAATCTGGGCCTGGCACAAAAATTCAGTGCATACATTATCACCTGCAAGTGCCGGGTTTCTATACGAGCACCAGTTCATGTCCTAGCTGCTTCACATCCAATTCAGCTCCCTGTCTATGGCCTGCAAAAAGCAGTAGAAGGCGTCCCAAAGTCTTGCGACCCTGCACCCACTTGAGAGACCTGGAAGAAGCTCCAAGCTTCAGACTGGTTCAGCTCCAGCCACTGTGCCCTTTGGGGAGTGAAGCATCAATCGAAGATAGTTCTCTCTGTTTTTCTTTCTTTCAATAAATCTGATCTGCTTTTCCAATTAAAAAAAAAATCTTAAAAAAAAAAAAAAACTTACAAATCTGTTTCTGAAAAATAAATACATCTGAAAGCCCTAATGATCTGTATAGCAACAATCCAAAGAGCAGCATCAGGGCATATTTAATTGACAGCTCTTATATTTGGATCTCAAAATAAGCCAACACTAAATCAGGTCGTCAAGAATCTATGCATCGCACTAAATTAGAAACTGTCCATATTTAAGTACACAAATTCAGACAGGAAGAGTATTAAAATGATACAGAAAATAGCAAGTTTATACTCACAGCAGCAAATGGCTGTCTAGTATCTATCTTCTATGTGCTGAACTTTCATATGTGCTTTGGTTTCACTGACTTATTCTTTCATAACAGCAAAAGCAGTCAGAACATTATAGTCTTATTAGATCTCTGGAAGTACCAAACCACTGCAACTTTTGTGTTCAATTAAGGAAACCAAACAGAAAATACATATTTTAAAAGACGTTCTACAATGTACCTAATTCCAGCCCAGATTAAATTTCCTTAAGCTCATCCTGTACCTCAAATTAGAAGCAAGTTTAACAAGTCAAGACACATTCATGAATATGGGCCATTCCAGAAAAAACACTCGAGCATTAACAGCTTGCTGCTCATGTTTACAGGCCTTAAAAATGTAGGAAGAGTTAGTTCTGCATTTATTCCATCCTCAAAACTATCTTATTATGTGTTGTTATAACCTTTAGTTTTTTTTTTCCAATTGAGCTGACATCTTGAGATCATACTACTCAATAAATGGGACTGCCCTACATTGACAGGTCATCTTCTGGCTAGACCAAAGCAAGTACACACCAATTACATAAATGTCCTCAGTTTCTCCACTGTTAATGTCTAGCTAATTCAAGGGCATTAGAACACGCAGAACAGCCAATCTCATCTTGTTTGTAAGATCTACATTAAACATAGTTATTTTAAAAACTCAAAAAAAAAAAAAGAATTATCTTGGGTTTTTTTAAATACATATACAAATATATATATATTTTTTTTATATATTATTTATATTATTATTTGAAGGGAGATCTTCTATCTACCCATTCATCTCCACACCAAAAGGGTACAATGGCCTGCCTTGTGTCAAGTCAAAGATAGGAGTCTGAAATGCCACCCAGGTTTTGCACATGGATGCAGAGGCTTACATACTACGGTCATCTTTCCACTGCTTCCCAAGTGCATCAGCAGGGAGCTGGACTGTAAGCACAGCAGCTGGGACTTGAACTGAAACTCCAGTACAGGCTGCCAGGATCTGGTGTCAGCCGGGGGGCTTACTGAAACAAGGTACTAAAACTTACCTCTCAGTTTCTGATCTAACAAGACTCAGATGTAGCCTAAACATTGCATTTTTTTTAACAGTACAAAGTGATGCTAATGCTTTTACACAGCCACTCAGAGAACCACCAGTCTCAAAGACATAGGTTAAGATTTTTATTAATCAGTGTTTCCCAGTGGAAAGTAATAAAGCTTCAAAATTATTTTAATAAGGCTTATCACTAATGACACCACCAGCTTAGGCATTTGTCAAAAACAGTAGAAGCCAGACTGACTACAGGCAAAGGCTTTTTTTTTAACCACTATCACAACATCTGATATTCACGGTTAAATCAAAAATTTTTCCCTGTTGAAGCACAGATCAGAAAAGTGTGACTCACTTTATAAAAATTCCCTTCTCAAAGAAAAATTCAGCAACACCTCCAATACTACCAACAGTGTCAAAAGCAACCGAGTAACAAAGTGCATTTGGAGAACATTAATTAAAAGAAACAGTAACAGAATTGGCAAAGAAAATCCATTCAAGTGAGAGAAAATGACTTATTATAGTAACAATACTACTACTTATTACAGTAGCAATAACCAAATCACACTGATTATAGCTGTTGATGCTGCCTGTTTTAGCCCAAATGAAATATAATTACAGAAGTCCATTACTGAAAGATTACAAATTACTAAAACTTTGGTTTTTTTTAAATCTAATTTCTCTATTACCTAGTTTCCATGGAGATATGTTATGTTCTACTTTATACTCAATTTGAAAGCAGCTACTGAGCAGCTTCTGGGACTATGCAAGAGCTCAGGGAAAATTATATACACAAGAAAAATAAATGCTTAATGTAAACTCATACAGAAATTTACTTTTTTGCCATAAGCAGGGCGCTAGATCAGAAGTGGAGCATGGGTCACAAACCATCATCCCTATGTGATGCTAATGCTATAGGTGGAGGCTTAGCCCACTATGCCACACTGCCAGACTCAGAATGATGTGTCTTAATTAGGTGAAAGCCTGGTTCCACACATTCGTTAGAAAGAGGAGTACTGCACTTTTAGTCAGCTTACAATAAATTCTTATCAGTCGAAGTCATCTTCGAGGTGAATTACATTATGTGGAAACAATATACTCTCCTATCCCATCAAAGAACCACTTGATTAATACTAAAAACAAGTAGTACGTAGCAGTATTCTGCTTTTGTTTAGGTATGATCTTCTTTAACTGCCATCAATTATTATGAAGATATTAAGCAGAGGCACAGCAAGCTAATCCTCTACCTGCAGTGCTGGCATCCAATACTATTGCCAGAGCATGTCCCAGCTGCTTTGCTCCTCTCCAGCTCTCTGCTGGTGTTGCTGTACCCAGTGGGAGATCCAAAGGAAGCTCCTGGCTCCCAATTTTGGACCAGTCCAGCTATGATTGTGATGGCCATCAAGGGAGTGAACTAGCTGATGAAGATGTTTCTCCCTCACCCTTGCCATAATTTTGACTTGTCAAAAAATCACCCCAAGTATACAGGTCAGAGCTTCGTAGTAGTAAGAAAAATTATCTTAGTAGATGCACAAAGTTGACATTTTGGAGGAAAAGCTGGGCTACAACAAAAAATCAATTTTCTTGAGAAGTTTTGTTTCAAATTCAGGCAACATCTTCTGCATGCCTACTTTACAATAACTGAAGTTTTCAAATTTTGCAAGCATAAACAACTACTAAGTAAAGATCATTCGTTACAATCTGTCCCAACCTATTCCTAATGTTTTCTACTTCTGTACTCATCTTTCTTTAGATATCCTTTCAAAGACTTTTTTTTTAAGCAGTAAATATTAGGATCTGAGAGCACCGAATGTACAACATTATCTGAAAAAGGAAGCCAATCCAGATGGAGATATGGAAAAATGTATTTTAGTGGCACCTGAGTCCCTGATGCTTGGGATATACCCTTACGTTTAAACATATTCCAGGAGAATTTATTTTGACTAGGTAATTCAAGATGGATTTCTGTTGTTACACATGCAAATTCCGATGATTTAACAATAAAGATGTCCTGTAAAACAAATGTTATTTCCTTCAAAACCAAGGTATGAAAAAAACTCAGCCAACAGTATGTATCATACAAGGGCCTGTTAGTCACCGCTCAGAGAATCTCTCATTAGCTCATATTAATCGAAGTCTGCACTCTACCAGATATCAAGAACCCTTCAAGTTACACTGCAACATCACAACAAAGTAACAGCATTTTATTGAATTCATACAAGCATTAAAGAAGAGCAAAGTGAAATTAAGAGTCAAGTATAAATTTCCAGTTTTGAGTTTCACATTATCATTGAGGTTTTATGAATGATATGAGTTTTGATTTAGGGCTTATCATGTGCCAGGCATTGTAAAAGTGCTTTATATATATTATTTTTGTAATTAGTTACCTAACCTTTTATTAAACTTTAGTTATCCAAGGTTAAACCTGGTTAAGGAGTAAAGCCAGACCACAGACTTTGGGCTGTTTGAAATCACTTTATGCTGCCTCTTCACTGAAAAAGGAACTTCAAAGGTTATTAGAAAAATGGAATTAAAAGCTTATTTGGAAATGGGTATTTAGCCAGAGGTTAGAAGCCCACACCCTTTATGATACTATCAGAGTTGAGCCCAGCTTTTTTCCCGATTCTAGCTTCCTGCTGAGGCACACAGGCAGGCTTCAGTGAAGGTTCAGGTAACTGAGTTTCTAACTCGGTTCCTTGGGAGATCCAGCCTGCAACCTGGGCTCTGATCTTCGGCTCCCGCTGCTGCGGGCATTCGGGCAGAGACAGTGGACAGAAACTCCCACTGTCTCTCTCTCTCCCCCTTTCTGAGTAACAAATGTAAATATATTTTTTAATAAAGTCTATTTTGGTGTAAAAACCCAGTTTCTTTATATTGTGCTTTTTGATAACCCCTAATATACCTGGATTTCAAAAACTTTTTTTTTCAAAGGTTACTTTTTAATTCCATTTATTTAAAGGCAGAGTTTTTATTTAAAGAGGAGTAGAACAATAAAGAGAGATAAAAGAGATGAGAGAGCTCTCACTCTTCCATCTGCTGGTTCATTCCCCAAAAGGCAAACATGACCTTGACTGGCTCTGGGTGAAGAAAGGATCCTGAACTCTATCCTGTTCTCCCACATGGGTGGCAACAGTGACGCACTTAGGCCATTTTAACACTATTTTTCCAGAGCACTAAAATGGAGCTGGATTAGAAGCCAAGCACACAGGAATTGAATGGGTGTTCATATCGGATAGCAGCAGCAACTTCACCTTTAACCTGGGCCACGCCATGGTGGCCACTTCTATAAACTTTTTGAAGTTCCCTCTTATATGTATATAAACTGCCATCTTTGGACATTGACTTAAGGTTAAGTGTGTAACATCTGATGTAACATGACATAAAACATGCTAAACATAGGCTATAAGGAATAAGGACAATGGACAAATTTCCTTATTGTACTAAAAGAAATTAAGTTGTGTAAGCACTATCACTAAAAGGTTAATCATGTTGCCATAAGCTAAAGAGAAACTAGCAACAGGTAGAAAAAATGAAAAACTCAAATATTATACCTGAAATTCAATCTGTACTAAAAGGCAAGTGACAAACCTATCGGTGATAGGTAACTATTTGAAGGTGAAATTTTGGGATATCTTCATAAATTCTACTTTCGATCAAGATCCGTGATGTTTCACCTAATGTAGAGTTTTTTAATACACTTTGTTACAAATTTCAAATATTCCACCCGTAACGAGATCAACTATTTCAATTCAGATAATATATTACGCAAGTCTCCCATAAAAACATCAAGTTAGAATTTCAAATATTTCCTCTTTTCACCAAATTGTAACCACTTCATCTTCTACCTCTATTTAACATTATTTACCCTTGCAAGATCCTCTATTTCAGAACTGAAGTTTGTTTCTCCTTCCATCATTTCTTCCTCTTCTAATGTTCGTTCATCATCAAAATCATGTACCAGCATGTCAGCTGATGGATCAAATTCATGGTCATCTGATGTTGCTGAACCTCCTGGTAAAGAATATTTTAAAAAAAATTTTGGTAAACTAAATTAAATGTCTTATTAAATATTACCGTATATGCTTTACTTATTTGAAGCTGGATATTAATCACAAGCAGGAAACAAATAATATTTATTGATTTTTTTTAAAATCCTTGCCCTTATTCATCACTGCCAATAGATGAAGCAAAACACTACTTAGGATTTATTTTTGCCTCTCTCATTCTTATACACTCAGAAATGCAAAAATGAGACAGCAAAACCACGGGACAGTTTATAGCTTTAAGGTGTGCTGCAGTCCTCTATACATGACGGGTAAGGTATAAATAATGATCATATTAAGTAAGAATGGACTTTTGAGGAAAAAAAAAATCCTGAATTTCCAAACATTTGTTGACTCCTAAATTATGAACTCCTGTGATCCCTAAGGAAAATAAGAGTCATGTGAAATTTATAGTCACTTGTACACTGTCGTGAGTCACAGCACAACATTCTTCTCCAGTGATGGACTACACATACGACAGTGGCTGTGTCATCCAGGAGCTCAGGTTTTATTTAAGTATTTTCTCTGATGCTTATACAACAAAATAACTTAGCAATTCATTCATTTCTCAAACCATGTTCCTGTCAACAAGTGCTGCATTACTACACTGAGGACCTTCAAAAAGTTCATGGAAAATAGTTTTAAAAAATGAATCATGTATTTCCAGCTTTTAAGCATTAAAAATAAATCGATCTTTTGATTCCATCTTTCCATGAACCTTCTGAAGAACCTTTGTACAAAATAGTGAAAATGGAGACGCACTCAAATTGCATCCCTCTACCATGGGTATCTGTTTTTAGTTGTCACGTTAATTCATTCAAAACAGGATAAAAGCAAACTTTAAAACTACATACTGAATTCTTATTGAAAGCATTAAAAATAAACTAGTAGGTAACTGATGTGCAAGCTACTCTAATCTACTTTCAGCCTGGTGGTCGCGGATTACCGTTTTGATAATTGAGCAGATTGCCAAGGCTGGGCATACTAATGCATAAAATGTTCTCTGTTTTGACAAACACTAAATCTAGCTGCAATTTTGTAAAGGCATTATTTACTAATAAGCAATGAGTTACTTAACATTAAAACATTAGCTAGAAATTTTAAATTTTAACTTTTGTTTAAGTTACATTAAGAGATGAACTTCTATCTTTGATTTTACTGAAGAGAATCAGTCAATAAAACAAAGAGGTTAAAATAGGCTGACTTTCTAAAAACTAGATTAATAGAGATGACAGTGTTCAAGACACACTTTTCTTTAGTCACTTTCAATAATTTTCTGGGTAAAACCACATTATGAGTACTTATTCTGTTCCAGACAGTATGCTTAAGCCCGTTACAAACATCTCAATCTTCAAATAAACCTATGAATACAGCTTCACTTTATTTAAAGAAAAAAGGTTAAAGGCTGAATGAGCTGAAGTAACATGTCTTAAACTCACACACAAAAAAGTATGTAGCAAAGATAGAATTTGAATGTTAAGTCTGTTAGTTCCAAATTCCAGTTCCTATGCTTTCACTGCACTGCAAGCTTCCTGTAGGTCTCTGTGAGCATCCTACCTCAGAGTATCTCAGCAGTTTATGTGAACTGCGACTGGCAAAGCACTTAATAGTCATTGTGCTCTTTGAGGAATATACATACACAAATGAATTTTACATTAAATTTTAAATACAAAATATAACATAACTACCTACCAAATCACATGTAATCTTCCATTATAGTGAATATAAGTTCTTAATAATTATCAAAATTAAAGAATGGTTTACAAAATACTTACAAATATATAAGCATATCACTTTTATTTTTCCTGTAACTAAAAAAGCAACCTAATACAACTTTAGCGGAGCACTGCAGTACTACTTGGGGATCTGAACACAAGGCATTGTGTAGGCTCACAATTTGAGAACCAGTAAGTTGGCTATCACTTTTTGCAATTGCTAACTGCTTCTTTTTGAATTTTCAATGGAAATTTCTGAAAATTTCCAGTTTGTTCAGGAATCTTCTGGGACTTTCAGTAGTCTGTAACTGTGTATTCCTACAGAAGACACTCTATATGTTTTCTTCCCCCTTTCAGCAGAAAACCATTAAAAAAAAAAAAAACACCTTTTATCTACTACTAATTATCCTTTATCAGCTACCTTAACAATTCCAAGGGTTTATTGGTACGCAGCATCAAATCATGAGTGTTATAGATGCCGTTTTTAAGATCTCCACAATATTATGTACAAAGCCAATTATATTTAATGCTAGCCACTCTATAACCCCACTATTTGAAACAATAAACATAAAGAACGTGTTTTTTTGTTCTCATTATAATTCCTTCCCCTGACAAAAAAATGGTACGTCTCTCTGTAATCATTCAAAAATTTTGCCATGCCTTAATTTGGTCTCTGCTTATTCTGACCGTAATTTTTTCTTTAGGCCCAACTAACCATTCTATTCCTTTACAATAACTGTTAGGTCCATTGTTACACTTCTAAGGAACAAAAATAAAATCCTAACAACAAATTATTACAAATATAGTATTTTATATATCTTGCTTCAAATACTTGCCTCACATTACTAAAAGGTCTATCTTTTCAAACATTCAAAGAAATTCATTTTATAATACCAGCTACACTCATTTAATCTTCCTCTGCTTAATCTACACTCTAAAGGTTACTACTTACAGATATAAAGGTCTTGTATTATGTGTCCACTACTACACTTTACGTTGGCAGGACCAAAGACAAATTATTTGGCATGGTCATGTGACTACTATTTCTACCACTGGTTCCAAAGTACAGATGCTACAAAGGGCACAGCCTTTTACCAGTTATATAAGCCATTTCACGGAAAGCCTCAACTGTTTCATTTTCTTCACCAACTTTTACAGCTGCCTACACTCAGCATTACTTGTAAGAACAAGTCCTTGAGCAAAAGCCTGATATTATAAATTCTAACTCAGGAGATTTTGCTCAGTCTGAAAACGAAGCATAAACATACAACCTATATTGTATAAATATTCAACATGCAGAAGCAATGGTAAACATATCTGTTACTTCAAACTGCACTATTTTTGTAGTTCCTAGGCTGATTCAAATGCAATCAAAACTGAAAATGTTCTTTAATAAAAGTATTACTTTTGAGGTACTTATTTGTATATATTTATGCATCAGCTGATGAATGCCTCAGAAACTCATTGGAAAAAACTGCAATTCAGCCCATCTGCACTATCACAACACAACAAAAACAACAATTTTTTTTCCCCAAAGAAAATGATTTCACTGTTTGAAAGGAAAATACTATGAAACAATTCCATCCTAATTGGCATGGTCCTGAAAAAGCTGTAATGATCAGATTACTTCCAACCTCAGATTACTTCCAGCCTCAACCACTGGGGCATACTTATAAACCAGGAAGGTGAAAAAAATACTGAGTTTCAAAAATGTCACAAAGCATAACATACTTTAATCTTAACCATATTAAAAAGACTTTAGTTAGCTCTGAAATACACAAAAAATTAACTATCAGGTCTGGCGCAAGAGCCTATTGGTTAAATCCTCGCCTTGTAAACACCGGGATCCCATATGGACGCCTGTTCTAATCCTGGCAACCCCACTTCCCATCCAGCTCCCTGCTTGTGACATGGGAAAGCCGTCAAGGACAGTTCAAAGCCTTGAGACCCTGTACCTGCGTGGGAGAGCAGGAAGAGGTTCGAGGCTCTAGGCTCTTGCTTTGAATCAGCACAGCTCTGACCATTGTACCCGCTTGGAGAGTGAATCAACGGATGGAAGAATTTCCTCTCTGTATAGGTGACTTCCCAATAAAAATAAGTAAAATCTTTCTTTAAAAATTTTTTGAAAAAAGTAATTATAAATCCAGCACTAGTCATCTAAAAAAGATAGGGTGGCGATTTTGTTCAACCCCCAGAGTACAAAATGATTTGTGTTATGAATAGGATTCTGAACCTTATAAAAAGATTCATACGGGCCCGGCCCGGTGGCGTAAGTGGTTAAGGTCCTCGCCTTGCATGCCCGGGATCCCATATGGGCGCCGGTTCTATCCCGGTGGCCCTGCTTCCCTTCCAGCTCCCTGCCTGTGGCCCGGGAAAGCAGTCGAGGACAGCCCACGGCTTTGGGACCCAGAGGCTCCTGGCTTCAGACCGGCATAGCATCGGCCGTTGTGCTCACTTGGGGAGTGAATCATCGGACGGAAGACCTTCCTCTCTGTCTCTCCTCTCTGTATATCCGCCTTTCCAATAAAAAAATAATAAAAATAAATCTTAAAAAAAATTCATACTATATCGAACACTTTTTTCCCTAAAACTTAACACAGAGAGGCAATGATTCAATGATTTGGTTAAGTTCAGTGATGCAAAAAACACAATACCTAAATATCCAACATACAAAGCATATTTTTGAACAGAACTTTAGTATGCCTCAATGGACTCACTTTTCAACTTGCCATAATGGGCTGTTTCTAAACCTGTATACTTCATGCAGACAGCTCTACTTCTGCTGGTAAAATCTGGAAACGTAGGCAAAAAGACCTAGTACCTGACTCTTTTCACTGCCACACAACCCCAACTAATTACTGCAATGTAAAACATGCCATTTTCAGCGCTGTCAATGATGGACTTTATCACAAAATCCTAAACCTCGATGTATACATAAGATTGTTTAACTTTTTAAATATCATTGGAGTGGTCAAACAAAAATGCTGTGGCCCAGATTAATCCAGAAATCACTAGTCTGCAGTATAAATCACAGAAATATAACCGTTGACTGAACCTGCCCATATCTGAGAATAACTTCAATCATTTATCAAGATCATTATTCATTAGTTGAGTTTTTATTCTTCTCTCACTTACTAAATGAAACTTTTTCTCTCAAAAATGAAAACTTCATTTCCTAGACAAGCAGACATTACTAAGCTGACTGCTTTAAAAAAATCATATATATTTCAAACCAAGCAACAATTTTAGGACTGTAAAAAAAAAAATACATGACAATTCACAGAAAAAAAAATAAAAAGAACTCAGAAACAGTCACGACGGTGAACAGCCTCACCTGTACTTTCATGGGCAGTCAAACATTTCATCCATTTCTTTATCCCCAGAGAAAAGAAGCATTCAGAAGAAAAGCAAGTCAGATGAAAGTCTAATGCCTCTAGCCTTTATGCAACTAATGACAAATGTTAGCCAAATATATATACATATGTATATACATACATACACACACACACACACACAAACACACACACACATACATACATCTGTATTTAAATAAATAGAGAGAAATGCTTACCTGGACTTGAAGACTCAACAGATGGCTAATAAGGGGAGAAAAGAAGAAAAGTTAGCATTTTCGTATTGTGTATCTTCTTCACAAACAGTACAGGAATTAGCTAATGCTAACATAAGACCAAGCATTACATTGGAAGTTTTAGTGTCTGAACTGGGAAAGACAAACTCAAACTTCTACATAGCTTTCCCTTTCATCGCTTATAAACAGAAAAACTCAGGCACTTCTAAATTTAGAAGATAATATAAAATTAAGAAGCAAATTAAAATATTAAAGGCAAACAAGATGTCCTTAAAGAGGTGTGATTTTAGATCTTAAGAAAGAACTTTTCAAAATATTTTCTCCTAACAACTTACACAAAACTGCACATAATTGCAATTAAACCCTTCTGTGTATCAGAATGGAGGTGGAAACAATTTGAAGAAATCATGTCAACTAAAAACTAGGTTGTAAGAAAGCAGATGAAAAAAATCAGAATGTTACTTAAGCACAACACTAAATTAAGGTTAATCTTCAGGATAAGCAGCATATTTTTAACTACCATGAACAACCATCCAAGCCAAAGCCTATAGAGATGTTAGACAATACAATAGAAGCTTGTACAGATACCTGATTTCAATGTTTCCCCCACTACTGTGCCATTCTATTTGTCATAAATGCAGCCAAAAGCAACTGGAAAATTTAAAAACTAAATTGATACCAACCTATTTTATTGACTACCACTCTGACAATGTCTCATTCTGTTTTAACCTAATTCAGGGTTATAAACAAATCAGTCACAAGCACAAACACCTTAAGGACAAATTCAGTAACTGGAAAGATGTTTCAAATGACATTAGCCTTAGAAATAATATGTTGCCAGTTCATTCAAAGCTATCTATTTCATGCTTATTAGAAGACAGATATGATGGGAGGCCAAAGCACGAGCAAAGGGATTAAAGGATATTACAGTATTTTCTTTCTGAAGCAAGAACAAAACAGAAATGAGAAAAATGCCCAATTCTTTGAAAGCTAAGCATCCAGGTCAAATTCCAATGTAGTAAATTTCCATTTTCAAAATTGTCTGCTATGATATTACACAATGAAATATGTAATGTAATACAGTAAGAATGGCATTCTAGGTTTCACATGGTAATTAACATCAGGTTCTATCGAGACACTTTTTCAAAGGTCCTATCTTTTAATTCTTAACTAAGAATGATTCTGTCTTATAACATTGTGATTCTAATGAAACAGACAGCATCTAATGCTGTGTATTTCCAATGTGATATCTCTATCATTACTTAAGTTACTCTGTCAGAGCACAATCAATATATTACTTCTTTTTAATTAAAAGAAAGTAATGTAACCATTAGGTATTCCAGGTTGCTTAACATCTTTTGGGCACAGCTACTTACTGCAGGCTCAAAATGGATTTAAGCAGCATAGAAATTATTACATAGCAAATCAAGATTTCAAAATAATTAACTTACATTCCATGAAGTTACATTTTATTTCCCAAGTGTAAGCAAAACCTGTGCCCATGGTTACAGCAATGCTAATGACCAAATCTTTTTGTTTTGGTTTATGTTTTTTAAGACTTATTTTTTTTTTTTTGGAAAGGTAGATTTACTGAGAGACGGGGAGTCAGAAAGAATGATCCTTTGGCCTTGGGTCCATTCCCCAAGCAGCCCCAATGGTGAGAGCTGAACCAATCAGGAGCTAGGAACTTCTTCTGGGTCTCCCATGTAGGTACAGGGTCACAAGGCTTTGGGCCATCCTCTGCTGCTTTCCCAGGATACAAGCAGGGAGCTGGATGGGAAGTGGAGCACCCAGACACAAAAAGGTGCTCATATGGCATCCCAGTATGTGCAAGGCGAGAATTTAGCCACTAAGCTATGGCACTGGCCCCACTAAGCCATGGCACTGGCCCCTGCTAATGACTCGCTTCATCTGCCTCCAAATTCACCATCCACAGAAAGTAGCTTTACAATATTGTTTTTTTATTTCATTAGAAAATAAAAAGAAAAAAAAAATTTTTTTGAAAGATGAACAGAAAGGAGAGAAATCCTCCATCCACTAGTTCATTTCCCAAATGGCCAGGGGTAGGCCAGGCTGGAGCCCAAGAACAGGTGTTTTATCAGTCTCCCAACTTGGGTGCAGCAGCCCAAGCAGCTAGCTCAATTTTGCTGCTTTCCTAGCCCATCAACAGTAAGCTGGACTTGAAACGGAGCAGCCAGGACATGAACTAGCACTGATAGAAAATGCCAGCATTCCCAGCATTGGCCAAACTCATTAAACACAGGCACATTTTTCCTTTTTAATAAACTTTTAGAACAGATGCATGCCACCAAAAAAAAAAAAAAAAACAAAAAAAAACCCACCAGCATTTTTTTTTACAAATTAAGAGCTTAAAAGGCAGTTTTTTGAGTATTTAATTTTTTTCAAAACTCCAAAATTATCCCATTTAACTAACATTCTTCTAATTATATTTTAAAAAAACTTTTTGATTAAAAATAAGTGAGTACTGGGTAAAAGGTATGCTTGTAAAAATGTCAGGAATTAGAAATAGTTGATATTGAATTGCATATGGCACCTATATGCATCAGTCTGCATGCCTCACGGGACTAAATGCCAATAAATATCATAATGATTTTCATTTTATTGGGAAACAATTACCACTGAAATGTTCTGGAAAAAAGCCTCAACTGCTTTCCATTCATTATGGTGTCAAATGTTTATAAAACTGGTAGCACTTCTGGGCCAGTGAAATGGCTTAACTGGCTAAAGCTGCAAACCCTGGCATGTAGCAAAGATGGTTCAAGTAACCGGGTCCTTATCATGCACGTTACTTCTGTGCTCAGGTCCAGGCCTGGTCACCATTTCAGATGTCTGGAGGCTAAAAGAGTAGACAGAAATTCTCACTCTCTGTCTCTTAAAAAAAAAAAAAAGAAAGAAAGAAATAAAATGAAGGAATCTACTGTCCTATTGTCTGACATACAGGGATGTTTCAAAGACTGAAAACTGAAAGTAGGGGGAAAGAAATGAAAATGTATATCTATAGATACACTCATAGATAAACACTATTTATGTTTTTGTGTTCCAAAATAAAATTAATTCTATCAGTAGGGATATAGCAACAAATCAAATTTTCTTGAAACCTAACTATACCCAATTAGTGAACTTCTGCAAAACTGACATTTGAAAGTGGTCCAAATTTTAAATATTACTTTGTCAAACTAGAATACAGAATTTAAGTTTAGCTATTACAACAGGAAAGGTTTCAAGGTACAATAAAGGCAATATTTAGGTATAAAATATAAACAGCAGCAGCAGCATTGGCTTATATGAAGGCAGTGCTTCTCATTTTCAAATGCATATAGTTACTGGATCACAGAACTGGCAACAGCATCTGCCCAACTCCCCCACCTTGTAGATCAGTAAACCCAGGGAGATAAAGTAATAAAGTGAAAGTACATCTCAGCTCAGAGCCTCTCACTCCTCAGGGTCCCTCTATTACTTTCTAGAAAAACAATGTAATTTTTTTCCCCTCTGTACTTCTCACCTCTTTTCCATTTTCTTTCTTTTCAAAATGGTTTTCATCTGTCCAAAGCAGGTTTAAAAAGTGAGTCCAAGTTACTTGTCATATTACAGGTTATCTATCTCTTTTGAAACTGATATCCTTCCAAGAAGATCAGCATATCTACTACTAATTACTACAGTAAACCAGAAAGGGAGAAAAAGAACTAAGAACAAAATAAAAAGTACTCATTTATAACAGTGGTTTCTCCTCTAAAAAGACACTACCTCAAACTTAAAGAGTTTAAGCAGGAAAGAAGGTTAAAATTTGGGATTAAAATGAAAAAGAAAAAAGAAAATGTATCCAAGAGGCCAGCATTGTGACACAGTGCATTAAACCACAACCTGCCCCATGGGCATCCTTTATCAGGGTGCTGGAGGACTGGCCACTCAGCTGCAGGTCCAGGCTCCTGTTAACGTGCCTGGGAAGACAAGATGGCCGAAGTATTCAGGTCTCCCCCACCCTTGTGGAAGACTCAGACAGATAAAGCTCCTGGCTCCTGACTGCAGCCTGCTCCAGATCAGGTTGCAGCAGCCATCTGGGCGTCAATCAGTGGACAGAAGGAAAGATCTCTGATTCTCCCTCTCTGCCTTCCCCATAACAAGAATAAATAAATAAATTCGCACTCATATAGCATTAGAAGAAATCTGAGTTGTTACAACAACTATGGAAATAAAAAATTTTGACATGAATACACCTAACAAAGTATAGCAACATACATGTACAGTTCACCACAATCCTGTCATGGCAAAAAGGTGAAAGAAAAAAGAAAAATCGCTCAAATGATTTAGAAATGGTATTTATTTCAAATAATGGAAGACTATGAATCAATTAAGAATGAGAAAGATATTAACATTTTAAGAAAAAACATAAAAAATTAGCAATAAAAATATATGATCAGGGAAAAAAATTAAGATAGAGTACATATAAAACATTTCCTTCAAACAGATACACAATATGTTAAGAGTTACCTCTAGGGAACAAGTCAGGGTGAGGTGACTTTTTTCTCCAATTGTTACTCCTTTCTGTACTGTCCGGATTTTTCTAAACATGCTCATACACATTTTCTTAAAAAGGGCCCAATGTGGTAACCTAGTGGCTAAAGTTCTTGCCTTGCTTGCAACTGGATCTCATATGGCTACTGCCCCACTTCCCATCCAGCTCCCTGCTGTGGCCTGGAAAAGCAGCAAAGGATGGCCCACAGCCTTGGAACCCTGCACCTGCGTGGAAGAAGCTCCTGGCTCCTGGCTTTGGATTGGCTCAGCTCCAGCCGTTGTGGCCACTTGGGGAGTGAAAACAGCAGACAGAAATTCTTTCTCTGTAAATCTGACTTCCCAGTAAAAATAAATATTTCTTAAATTAACTTATTGGGCACACTTTTATCTCAGATGGCAAACAACACTGCACAGAATTTATCAACAGATAAATTCTAGTCACTTTACAGCAAGTTAAATTCACCCATATATCTG